AATCTTGGGTAACTTTAACTATAGAACTCTCTATAGTTACCAAAAACATAATTTAATCCAATTTTGCACATTTTGATTAATAGGTTTTATGTTTAAATAAATCAATGTATTTTAACATGTAAAGCACAAGATACATGTTAAGTATTAGGGGATAAAGTATTACTTCCATTACTCTAGCATCTAAAGAGCCCAACTGCGATCATTGTTCTATTGCACTTGGCACTCTTCAAACCTATAATATGAGATAGTCTCAGTCCCACAGACATTCTGATTTAAAAAAACAAAACAAAAAAACAAGGAAGAAGGAAACAGAAAACAGAGAGGTAAAATGACTTGACTATGGTCAAAGAGTGGGTCAGTGAAAAACAGTGGGAACAGAACCCACATTTTTCAAAACTGCTAGTCCAGTACCATACTCAGTGGACCATGCTTCTTCACAGTTAAAATGTTTGAACACTTAACAGAAAGTGGCCCATGACTGCATCCCTCACCAGGAGGCACTACATTAAGAAAGTCACAATGTTTCCCAAGGCTCCATCTTTGTATGGAGGGAGTGATTTCTGAAACCATGCATGGGGTTTATCATACTCCTCCACACACACACACACACACACCTATTAGCTTATTTCTTACCTACTCATTTCTCCCAAAAGGAACCATCTAGTAAATGGCTCCCATATACCCTTGACTGCTAGATTGTAATAGTATTTGGGGTTTTTGTAGCTGTACAAGTGAGAGAACATTTCCTTCCTACTATCACCCTAAGAAGTAACGTAAGGGCTGAACAAAATCTAGTGCTAAATAATGAATTATTACTCTTCACTTATTTTTCTGTCTTTTTATGTTTTAAATATGGATAATATTTTGCTGATCTTGGTCAGTGGCCTTTAATAGAAATTTATCATTAAGTTGCATAGGTAAAAATGAACTGAAGTGGTTAAAAAAAATCTAATGAAGGTGTTAAAGAATCAGTAACAATAACCAAAGCAATAACAGAATGCATAGTTCTCGCAGTGGGTATACAGTGCAATAAATATAAATATCATTATTAATAATAATTAGTATCAAGACTACATTCATGCAAGCAATTAGGCATAAGTTGTTACGTACAAAGGCTGATACTGCACAGTGCACATGAAAAATATGCAAAATATACTAAAGCTTAACCGGCCTGATTCTATCTGGAGATGTGAGGGAATAAGATTGCTAAGCAAAATACGTTCAGAGTGCATTAAACAGGGCATCATCAGACTGTAGGTGGAACAATTGGTATAAAAATACTTATATGCTATGGCGCAGAAGAGTTCCCTAAATTCTGATCTCCAACAGACTGCAGGTTGGTTCTGCCATTAGCAACATTAATTTTAACTCATCTGACAATACACCAGAGTGCCTTTGATTTTTCAAGATATCCAAGCGAACATAGGAATCAGCTCCTATGTGTTTATGTGCATATGCATGTATGCCATGTCAGTATGAGTAAAAGTTTCCAGTAAAGAGCTCAAATCCATCTCTGCATAAACTCCTAAATGCTGGAGGCTGCAAGTGGAAGAGGAACAGTGGAAAAAATCCTGGTCATACCTGTTCACATTCCCTTTCAGCATCTATTCTCTGCCATTGTGACACACAGGATAATGGGCAAGATGGACCTATGGTATGATCCAATAAATGGCAATTCTTATGTTCCCCTGCTCATATACACACTAAATCCATTCTTGAATTCTGGATCTTACATTTTCTTTAACAGTAACCTCACAGTTCTAACTTCTTCATGATGAGGATTTCGTTATAGGATTCAGTTCTGTTCTAGTTGGAGATTAGAGCATGCTCAAGAGCATGTCATGTTCCTTCTTCCTTCACCATTCTCTTACACCTCTTTTGGCAGATCACCCTTAGCTGTACATTGTCTTACAAGGAAAGCAAATTTCCAACAGAAGTCACCAATATGTTAATTTTAAAGAAAATACAGGTTTTCTATTACCTGCCAGGACGAGAATTTAGAGTTCTGTATTTTTAAGGCAAATGTATAAAACGTTTCATTTTAAAATACTCAAATCAGTCCCATTCTGATCATAATTACTCTGATCAAGGTAACTTCATTGACTGGTGATTAAGGCTGTGATGAAAGCTGGAATAATTGAGATAGGAATCTGATTTTAGGACCTTGATTCTGCAAACCTTACTCACACTGAGCAGAACTTACTTATTTACGAAACCCCACTGATTTTGATGAGACTACTGAAGTGAGAAAGTGCTGCCAAGCAAAAGAAGGACTCACAGAAGAAAAATGATTTTCACAAACAAATAGCAAGCTACCATTATGACAGTCTGAGGATGTCATTTAAGACTCATGAAATGTCTATCAACATCTGAACATGTGAAAGGCAGCAAACCAAGATTTGCTGTAGATAAATTGTATTAAATTGCAGATGGGTTTAAGCAGATGTCATAATTGGTTCACAGATACTGAACTTCCAAGTTTATAAGAAGGGAAAGCCATACTCTATCCCAAGTTCCCTTCATTGTTTTTCCAGGTGGTGGCAAAATTATCACATATTATCACAGTAATAGCATACGTTCTTAGTGTACACTTTGCTTCTCTCTGTGCGTATGTATTGCCTCTTCCCAACCATCCTTCAGCTTTCTGTGATGATAGTCCTAGCCACAGCCAGCATCTTTTACCTCAGGTGCCTGATTCATGAGATACAGTAGTCTGGTCCAAGAGGTGCAGTTTTCTTCTTCTAAAGGTCTCATCTTAGCTTGATAATACTCATCTACTCAGGCTCTGATAGAGCACAATTCTCTACTTCAGGATAAAGTCCAACATTGCCTCTCAAGCTCAGTATCTGATGTCCAGTGTCTACCCCCTTCCTACTACTAGTTTTCTTCTCTGCCCTAGTTCAATCATTTTGGCTGAAGGTATCATGAGTCAGCTTCAGCTCAGATAACAGTATCAAGAAAAGCCAAACCACAGAGCGTCTTTTTCCTTCTTCCTAGAATCCAAGGATCTTTCTGCTGAATCAGGAGCAAAGACTGGAAGCATCAGATGCTCAAGTTAGGAGAGAAGTGAAGATAAAAGGAGCAAACCACAGCTCAGTGATGGTGGCTGGAACTGTATAAAATAGACTCAGAAGTTAGCAGGAGATGACAGACAGTAGAGGTGATAAAGGCCTATCATTAAGTTCACTCTCCTACATGTACAGGATGTAGCTTGCTGATAAAGGATGTGAGATAGCAAATTGATATTATACTTGATAATTCACAGCCCAAGAAGAAACAGGCCATGAGGCAGAAGCTCATTATTGGCACAACCTGCAGTACTGGGCAGGAGGAGGAGAATTATCTGGGTTATCTTCCCTAAACACCAGACCAGATTGAAAATGGACTGGAACAGGGAAAGGTTTGGAGGAGAGTTGAGCCCAGCAAGAGTAACCAGAAAAGAATCACATGTGAGCCAATTATTTTGGCAATTCCAAGTAGTGATTTTTATAGTGAAAACCAGGGTGAAAACAGAAAAGAAGGAAATAGAAGAGGAGGTAGAAGCTGGAGCAAGTCAGAATTTCATGTACTTTGCAGACCTGCTACTAGATGGAAAAGCAGCAAAAAGAAGCTTGTAGTAAGGTGGCAGTGGGCACCATTCTATCCTCTACTGAGAGGTTTACATATCAATATCTGTGAAAAAAACATAAAGGGATTGTTTACAAAGCACCACTGCTAATTTATAACAAGAAAATCTAAAAGTAATATAACTTACCATATAGCTTTCTTCCTGACTTTCTTATCAACTGAAATGCATTGCTTCAGTCTTAAACAATATCAAGTTAGAAACTGGACTTCCTTCTGGGAAGTATTTCTACAGTGGCAATCAGAGGCATTCCCTGAACAGATGTATTGGAGGGGTGAGTTATTCCCCAAATCTGTTTAGAACATTCATTTTTAAAGCACTCCTTTTCCTGTTAACATATGGCTTGTTATCTTGCCACCTACTGCACGAGGTACTGCTGTTGCACATGTCTTTTTACTTTAGTAGCAAAATTCTGGGTGCATTTGCAGCTAGGGCCTGAGGAAGAGGATAAAGAGAGCATTTTTCTTGCTCCAGCATCTTACACGAGACTCAGGTGCTATACAGACTGAACATCTCATTCCAAAATTCAAAGCGGATGGGACTATCTGGAATGGGAACACAGCCAAAACCTTCCTCCACTGCAGGCTAGCGAGTGTCTGGCAGCATTTGCTGAAGGAACATATGCTGTTTCTTATAAAAGCAGGTATGAGGAACACCATTCAGCAAATTCATATGCCTAGATCTCCCATAAGCATTCTTCCTGCATCTGTCATGCATGGGCAGAATCTCTCAGACCCTCAGCCACAGCAGCTTTATATCACCAGAGCTTCAGAGAAAAGCAAGGTTACAGTCATTCTTTCTATGGGCACCCATACACATGTTTGCTCCAACACGTTCTAATTAGAATGTGTTGGAGCAGGCTTGATTCATTCAGTCACTAATAAGAATGCTCTGACAGTCTTGGCATTACATGCATTCAGTTAGCACCCCTACATTTCAAAATGGTGGCAGGGGTGCTTTAACTAAAGCTTGTCAAATGAACTTTAGTTAAAGCGCCCTTATCACCATTTTGGAGCTCGGGGTGCTGAATACACAAGATGCTGTAGGCTTTTTACTTAGAGAGGCTCCCAAGAACCACTCTAATCAAAATGTACCCCCTCCCTCACCCCAGAGCATGTGTAAAGGAGCCTTTTAAGAAATATTTAAAAAACATTTTATTTTTTCCAATTTGTTTACAACTTCCCCAAACCAAGGTGCCTTACTCTAGTATTTTTAGGATTTGTTCTTCCATATTTGAGCACTCAAAGTTCCTCTTTAGCTGTAGTTGCTATATGAAATAGAAATTATTTCAGGAATGACAATGTCAGAATTTCAGATTGGCATAAATTATCTTTCACATACTTTAAAGTATCAACAGTAAAATGACAGTACTAACCTCTTTCATTTTTTCCAGTTCATTCTGTAGAGCCTGCTTGGCAATCTCAACTTCTATAAGCTGCTGTCTTAACTTTTCATTTTCATCTTCTGTTATAGTACGTTTTTCTTCCACATTTTCTAATTCATGATGAAGTCTTACTGAAACATCCTTTGCAACCTAAATGGAATTATAAGTAAAAAGAAAAACAAGGCGAGAAGTTATTACAGTAATTCTAACCACTTAGGCACTAATTCTGTCTCTTGCTTAGTAGAAAATGTGTTAAGGGAATGCGTAGAAGACAGTATTCAGAAGGAAATTGGTTGTCCGGGAATTCTAACTTTCACTAACTTTCACTAGGTAAGAGGATTCTTTCCACTGTCTTCAGTGAGAGTTGCATCAGAACCTATATCTGTATGACACCTTGGCAAAAAGCAGAGCAACTTCATCACCCTTGGAGACAGTACAGATTGTGCACCCTTTCAAACATAGCTAGTTCACCCTACTCCTTCTGCTCCACCACTTCCCCTCTGACGGCACCTGAGTATGATCCTGTTAAGTATTTATTATCTATTGGAGTGCTAGCTAAGTGAAGAGTCCATGTTCTCTCTAGCCCCATGCATTCTGGACATCATATGGGACCAAAAGTAGGGGGAACAATTTCTTGCTTTCCTCCCCATTCACAATCAAAGTCAATCAAAATTCCATCCTTATTTCTAATTACATTAATAAAAAAGAAAAATAGGATAAATCACAGATGTCTTTGATCAAGAACCTGTGTTATTCACCAAAACACAATATAATATTTTAAAATGAAGCAATGACTCAGCATTTTTGCTTTACATTTTGAAATGCACTGTCACAGGAGCAGGGTTTAAAGAAACCAAGGACATAATCCTTTTTCCCACTTCAGCATTAGCTTTGCCTCTCATGTCACTGCACTGTAACTTAATGGCACTAATAAAACTAGAATACCACGTATATCAGGATCTGGGGAACGTTTGTTCACCAGAGCACCCCAAGGGATGACAAGATCGAATGCTCACAAACTCCTCCGTGACCATTTCAGGCTGGACATAAAGAAGAATTTCTTTATTGTCTGAGCCCCCAAGGTTTGGAATAGACTGCTGCCGGACGTGGTTCAAGCACATACTTTAAATGCCTTCAAGAGGCATTTGGATGTCTATCTTGCTGGGTTCCTATGACCCCTGCTGACTTCCTGCCCTTTGGGCAGGGGGCTGAACTCAATGATCTTCTGAGGTCCCTTCCGGCCCTAATGTCTATGAATCTAAAATATTGAGGTAAACATCAACAATGACTATCATGATGATTTTGGTATCATGAGAGTCATTTTAAAAGGTTGGACTTGTGGCTTTTTTTAAGAATGGAAAAACATAGTTTATCCCTTCTTGGTGTTTGCAGTGCTTAGCCTGAGATCAGAGACCTATCTTTTATGAACAAGACAATATTACTAACAATTTAAAAATATGCTTTCTAATTTACTGCATCTTGAAAGGAAAACAAAACATTGGCTAGCAGGTAATCAAAAAGAATCTTCTCCATCAGAAAGCAGCAGCAGTAGCAGCAGCTAGTGACTCACTCTCTTGACAGGAAACACAACCATGAGTGAGTGTACCAATACAATTGCTGTATGCTAGAACACAGTCAGTCAATAACCTTGCCACCATGCACACACACAGGACACATTCATACTTCCCAGAGGATGGAGATGAAGAAACCATGCTAGTTGAATTCCAAGTGTATCCTGTGAAAAGGGAGTGTGAGATATCAAATCACAGGGGCAGATCCTGACTTGCTTTGCTCAGCTGGACATTTCACCAACACCAGAGATTCCTCAGCTACCAATGAGCTATTGTAACTGGCTCTTTGTTACTCTGCTTTATGGTCCTGACAGAAGGATAAGGTCTAGGTTTCTTACACTAGATAACATTTGATTAAAATTTGGGGGGAAAGTAAAAGTTTGATTGGCAAGGGTAAACACTTTGACTCAATGCACGTAGACTTCAAAAAGGCATTTGTGGAGCATAAGGCCCCAAAAAATAATCTGATCAAAAACTAATGTTATACAAAAACCAAAGCAGCACAGTGGATTCAAAACAGGCTATCTCAAAAAGCAATTGTGAATGGGGAATCCTCATTTCTAAGGGGTCATTTGTAGTGAGCTCCCAGAAGTAACTGTTTAACCCTCCATTATCCAAAGTTTTCATCAGCAATATCAAAGAAAAAGTAAAAACATTACTGGTGAAGTTTGTAGATAACAGCAACATTAATATAATGACAAATAATAAGGACAGGTGAACTCTAGAGAGCAATCTGGATCACTAGGTAATTTGGGCTTCCTTGAACAACATACATTTTAATACAGGTAAATGCAATACTATACATCAGGGAAACAAAAATATGAGTTACCCTTGTAGGATGGACAGTTTTATTTTGGAAAGCAATGTCACTTAGAGGGCATCATGAATTTAGAGGACATATGGAGGACTGGTAAACAAAAGGTCAAGGTTTTGGCATTTGCTTCCATTTTGATGCAAAATGAAGCCAAAGCTTCTAGAATTTTTCAGGAAGAAAATAAGAAATAGACCCTTCCACATCAGAATCTGCAATAGTCTGATGGTTACAACATTCATATGGGATGTGGGAAATCTAGGATTGGATGATTGCTGTACCTAATTCAAACCAGGAACCTGAACAGAGTTCTCCCATAATTTAGGCTGGTACCCTAATTACTGGGCTACAGAAGCAGTTCTTTCTATCCGGCCCAGTGAATATTTAGTTATTAATAAAAAATGGAAGAGCTGCAAAAAAAAGAGAGTGACTCTAGCCCAGACTTAGAACATTCACTTGGGATGCAAGAGACCCAGATCCAAGTTCCTTTTTCAAAGTGGGTAGAGCAGGAACTTGAACATCAGCTTCCCACATGCCAGCTGAGTACTTTAACCACCTGGTTGTTCTCAGCTGTGAGGCTGACTCTTAAATATTTTTCCATAAGCTTTCTCATAGGCCTGAGAAAGCTGTATCAAATCATTATGTTTCTGCCAAAAAAAAGTGTTTGTTTGGTTTGGAAAAAAATGTTTTGGCAAATATTCCTGAGCACTTATACCCCTCATGGAATGAGATGGGCAAGGCAGAAAATGCAATCCTTGATAAGAGTGCAAATAATAAATAGAAGTAGAAAGATGTTAGTATGGCATTGTATGGTATCAGTGGAGAAAACCCATGAGAATACCATACCTGATTCTGGTGTCCACATTTTAACAAGGATCAGTAACAAGAATACTGTATGAGCTGGAAGGGGTTCAGAAAAGAGCCCTATAAATAACCTAGGTGTGGAAAACATCTTTACTGTGTGTGACTAAAGATGCTTATTCTATTTAGCTTCTAGCAAAGGAGGTTAAGAGGTGACCTGATCATGGTCTTTGTGTAGAGATAAGAGTTCTGAGAGAAGAACAAGAATTAGTGGATGAAAGCTGAACCTAGACACATGCAGATTATAAAACACCATTTTTACAACATTGAACTTCCATATTGAGTATGTTAGATTTTCCATTGTCTGAAGTCTATAAATCAGATCTGAAAGTCTTTCTAAAACATCTGTTGTAGTTCAGGCAGAAGTTATAGGTCATATGCAGAAATGGCCTGGTAACATTCTGTGGCCTATACAATGAAGGAGGGCAGACTAAATGATCATAATGGTTCCTTCTGTCCTAGGAACTATGGGTGAAATCTTGGCTCCACTACAGACAAGTGTTTTTTTTTTCCCTTTGATTTCAGTAGAGCCAGTTTTTTGCGCTATGAATAACTTACACGAATAGTTCCATTGAAGCTGGACTGAATGTTATAATGTTCTCACAGCAGTCAATGGGACTATTCAGTGGGGTTGCAGGACCCGGAGCAGAGTGTTTTGGCTTGTTTTCTTGCAAACAAAGGGCCAAATCCTGTCAGCCTTACACAGATCTTAAACACTTCTCACTCAAACTTCCACTAACTTCAATAAAAATGGGATTAAGTAAAAAATAAAAGTTGAGCCCAGAGCCCTATAAAATACTGTTGAAGACCCAAAAGTATAAATCTGGCCTTGGCTATCCTGTGGTCCCATATTGCTCTCAACGGTGCATGTTTCAAAATGGCATTGAGAAAAATGTCTGAATCAAGGCTCACTTGGGAACAGGCATTTTCCTCAGTGAATCAGTTCTCCCCATCTTCAACCCCACCAGCACTTGCTGATATGAGGGCCTTCTGTACCTTGAGGTCCTGCTCCATGCTCCGCAGGAGCTCTCCATCAATCTCCCCGGTCTGGGCATAGCGGAGCCTCTTGCGTTCAGCCTTACGTAGCCGGTACTGTAGGATCCGGCAGTTCTTGTTGGCTCTCTCCAATTCATGGCGCATTTCCTGAAGCTGACAAGCGTCCTCCTCGAAGAAACTGTCCCTCATCTCATCCATCTCAGTCCTCAGCTCATCTATCTCATTCTGACACCCAGTGGGAAAGGAGAAGAGGCCGCACAGCGACCAACCAAGAAAATAAACATCAGAGACAGCAAGAGGGTTGGGAAACATGGCTCGAAAGGAGCTGGGAAACAGATGTTCTCCCTCCTGCCCTGTGAGAGCAGGCCAAGGGAAGCCAGCGAGGCCAGGGAAAGAACGAACAGGCGTGATCGCCCTTTCCGTGCTCTCACGCTAGTGTGGTGCTCAGCCCTCCCTGCCTCCCTCCCCTCCGCAGGCACATGAATAATGAATAAGGGAGAAGCCAGGATTTGGCCCACCATGTTTTGTCCCTGCTCTGCAGCAAAGGCCCAGCCCCAGGGAGTTCCCAAGGGTCTGGCGACACCTCCCTCCCCCCAGGGCCCCTGTCCCACAGGAGGGGGAGGGTTGGGATGCTCCCAGGTGCACTCCCAGGGCTAAGAGGAGGAATCCAGCTCTCTCCAGCCCCCCTTCCCTTCTCTGCCCCTCTCCACCCCCCTCCCACAGCATCCAGGAGGAAGAAGCGGCTTCTTCTTCTGCCTCCTCCTCATCCCCCAAGGTAATAAAGGAGCCTCCCTGCCCCCCAGCTTAGCAGCACACCCCCACCCCGCCTCCCTCCACCCCTCCGCGCTCACCTTGAGGGTCT